ATTTTTTTATGCTCTGTGGAAAGACTCGGTAGGAGTGATTACGGCGAAGCATAATAAGCGAATTAGAAAAAAAGGGGAAAAAGAGGCCCCAAGGCTTTATTTGATCAAACAATAACTGGGGAGTGGAAAAGGATCTAGCAGATGGAGCAGCACCAAACATCCACTATCCAGAAGTTGTTGGATGAATCGGATATAAAAAACATCATCGCAGGCGATTGACCGACAATACAGGTGTTTCTGTACCTGGTACCTAAACAAATCAGCGGTCAGAAACGGCCGAACTGGATATTTGAGCCACCTTAGCAATGTAATAAAAACCGAAAAGTTGAATTAAAACAATTCAAGCCCTAGTTACACAACACCAAGGCCTCAACTTGTGGTGAGAGAGAGGTAGTAGCAAAGTTTTTATAAATCACAGGTTTTGGTGAACACCAAAACTGCCAAAAAATAACAGCTTTTTCTAACATATGCAAATCATATGTGTACTACCTCGTAACTTATTTAATCTGTAGTAAAGTTACGTAGTATATGTTAATATTAAGTGAAAAATGAGTTATTGATGTCTTTCGACCAATTGTTACTTCAAAAACTAGAGTAACGACGACACCTTGAGGATAGCATTCAACTATTTGATCAAATAAAGCTTTAGGGCCTAAAATGCTGCGATAATTAGTGCCTTTCCCCATCAACTCCAGTTTCCTCGCAACTAATTTTCAAAAGCCAAAGTCAAGGTGGCTTTTCAAAGACTGCATTGTGATTCTTACAACTATGTCTCGGACCTCCAAACAAAAATAAAAAAAACTTTCACGCAACATTTCGAATAATTAGTGGTTTAAGGTGACCCTATGAGATCCCAAAGAATCAATACATATTTTTATTACTTCCTGAAAAGAAACATTCTTAAAATGTTAGCCTTGACAAGTTACTCCGAGGAGATTTTAAAATCTGCCCAGTTTAATAGAAAAAAAGAAAGCAAAGAAAAAAACGCTCAACGAACTCTTTACAATTCTCCTGTAAGAAGAATGTTACAATTATTAGCAAAAACAGATGCGTTAATTCGACGAAGGATTAACTCAAAAGCGAAAAATTTGGAGAAAATACGAATAAATAGTACCGAAAAAATGTGCGTAGCGAGACACATTGAATCACGTTTGCTATGCTATAAGAAGTGACAAAACTTCCCATCCAGGAACCTTTATGATCAACCAGTAAGTGTCTCGTTTCGAGATAATAAACATGGGTAATTCTGGACGTCGAAATAAAAAAAGCCGATAGATACATTTGATGTCACGTTGTATTATAAATAATTTGATAGCAATTGAAAAAGCTGCCAAAGAAGTTAGAAGGTACGACTCTGAACTTATAGTGTCTTTTATTTACGACTTTTTACTAGTCTTCATTCACTGAGTAAAAGTTGAAGCACAGTAATTGATCATGTAGGTGACACTTTAAAAAATGAATGAGAAAAAAGACAGTCGTCAGAGTCGTCATTTAACGTTAGATTTGCCGAAAAGCTTGTTAGCGGAAGTGTCTGAGGAGACGACGGTCAAGGAGGTATAAATACATGTATGAAATCTGTAAAATACCGTGTACATTGCTGCCGCAGTAATTATGCATAATTTTTTCTTTCTTTCGCGCATACTGTATTTTACGATCGCGCAACAGAGTACGTGCCCTACTGTAGTTGTCATTTCAAAATAAGTGGTCTCAAGCAGAATAATTTGTAAAAAAATTGGCACAGTGCCAAAGCTTTAAAATTTTCTTTGTCAACGAATTAGAGGTGATAATAGTATGTTGTTCCATGTGCTTCCAGTTACCACCATATCGAGCTTCAGAAACTGATGTTTCTGAGACCACGTAAACGACACTGAAGAACAACAATGAGTTCGCTGTCAATAGTAAGCCCCGAGAGACGGATCGAGTTAAATCCTTTTGACGTTGATGCTTGGAACTTACTTCTGCGTGAATCACAGGTTTGACTTTCATTAGCCTCTACTGCAGTTTTTATTAGCACGAAGTGTGAACTTTTTTGACGACTTTACCTGTATTGTATACAGGAGGTTTTTTTTGTCAGCCTTTATTGCACCTTATTCAGGCGAGATCAGTTGATCAAGTGAGGCCCTTTTATGAAAAGTTGGTGACGCAGTTTCCTAATGCTGGTCGTTACTGGAAGGCGTACATCGATCACGAGGTTGGTATTTGTAGTAAAAGCAGGATATTTACATAAGGAGTTGATTTTATTCTATGCTTAATACGTTCGAGATCGTTGTTTGAGTTTCTTCAAAAATTATTGCCATTTCTGATGTAGCAGTTATATTTAAGAAAAATGTCTGTTTTTTGCTGTCGAGACTTACCTTGGAAAAGCTGTAATGCTAGCTAGGTGACACTCTTGCATCTACTTTGTTCTTGTAAAATACTCTGATTTCTTCCTTCTTATTTTTACATGGAAGGAGATACCCTCATCCGAATTACCAGAAAAGCCCAGCTGTGGTGCCTTTTGTTTTCTTCTTTGTGGGTGCTGACAGCTTAAAATTGTGTATTATTGGTTTCTTTGAAGTGGTAACTTACGCTTACCCAATTTGAATACTTCAGAGGTTATAGGTAAGAAAAGTTGCAAGAGTTTGCAAGTTTAAGTTCTAGCCAGGATTAAGTTCTAAATGCTTTCGAAATCTTTTTTCAGTGACAGAGCAATACTCTTTAATAACGTTTTCTGCACTTTATTTATTCTGGAGTTCTGGAAACTTTACCACTGTCATTTTGAGCGCTATACAGAAGGTTTTTGCAGTGCGTATCGCTCGTTCTACACGTTTGCTCGACGCATCTGACACTGAAAACAAAAATTACGAATTTAGAGAAACTTAAAATGCGTTGTGTCTTGAAAATGTTGTCGATCGCTTTATGTTTTCTTTTTTTCCCTTTTTTTGGTTACAAATAAACACTTGATTCAGTCCGTAGTTATCAATAGATCTTTTTTGTTGTTTAATGTTGAATAAAATTTGCATTTTGTGTTTTACACAGAAAAGCAGTTGTTCAACGACCGGGACAGACATTAACGCATTAAATGAAATTAAAAACTATTATTCTTAGTTTTTCTGACGTTCTTCTAGCGTTTTCAATAACTGTTTTGACCGGAGGGGTGTCCGCTGCATCTGTTAATCAATGTAGCTGTTGCCTATCAGGCAGGACAGCTTCATGCAGTTTGTTTTAACCGTCAATTTGAGGTTGTTTAGGGTTTCTTCGGTTAAAAAATGATGGTTTTGACTTTTGTATATCATTTGCTTAGTTGGTGAGCTCTAGTTTTCTAACTTCAGTTATTTTTCAGTTGCGAGGGAAGAACTATGAGAACGTGGAAGCGGTAAGTTGAACCAGAGAAACCACGTGTTTACTCATTCAAATTTTAAAGGAGCGGTTTTTATCCTAACGTTTATATTTGGATTCTTACCATTAGTACTTCTCGCATTTACTTTATTTTTCCAATTTAATTTTTTTTTTTGAGTCAGCACGTTTTTAGCTTTTTGAGCGTTGCCTTATTCATGTACTGAATATTGATCTCTGGAAATGCTACGTATTTTACGTTCGGGAAACGAAAGGCCACCTTTCATCTTTCCGGTAATTATCGGAAATGTATTTTATATCTTTAATTTTAGAAATCATTAGGTCTCTCTTAACCAAACTGTTCTCTTTGCGGTAATTTGTAGGGAGAAGATGGCGCAAGCTTACGAATTTGCGTTGGAAAAAGTTGGTATGGACATGCACTCCTACTCAATTTATGCGGATTACATTTCCTTCCTTAAATCAGCGTACGTTCTTAAATTGCTATTGTTGTGGATTTGAGAAGTTAGAAGCACCAACAGTTGTGGGTTGTGTGACTTATGAAATACTAATAAAGATATTTTTCATTACTGAAGTGCCTTTCTAGACCAACTGTGGGCCAGTATGCTGAAAACCAACGCATATCTGCCGTGCGTAAAATCTACCAGCGGGGTGTTGTCACTCCAATGGTTAACATCGAGCAGCTTTGGGCGGAATATTGTGCCTACGAAAAAGTTTCGCTTTTTGAAATTGACTTTATTTTTACTTCAACTGTTCCTGTGCTTATTTTCTTGTTCTTCAGAGCGTGAATGCAACTCTTGCTGAGAAACTGATTGCTGAAAGAAATAAGGAGTATCAAGTTGCTAAACGAATTTCCAAGGCATTAGAACAGGTGACGAGGGGGTTGAACCGTCAGGCTGTTAGTGTCCCACCTAGAGGCACTGCAGCGGAAATGAAGCAGGTTGTTTTTCCATTTTTTCTTTTACTTATAAGGTCTGGCACTTCAATAAACTCCGGGCTCTTTTTTGGTTCAGTTGTACACGAATATTGTTGGTGTTCTTTTAAGCTAGAGATGTGGCGGAAATATATTCAGTGGGAGAAAAGTAATCCATCTGGTACAGAAGAATATGCTCAGTACGCTAAAAGAGGTTGTTTTTAGATTGCATTTTAATTAACTTTTAGTTAGTGATTGTCTATTAGGATTGAAATAACAGTTGACTTTTTTACAAATTACCAGTCTTCTTTACTATTTTTAATTGATAAGGGATTATTTGATTTTAGCTAAATTTTTTCTCTTCTATTTGGTACACATTTACGGTTTCAGTTATATTTGCCTATGAACAAGCCCTTTTGTGTTTGGGTTACTACCCTGATATATGGTACGAGGCTTCCTTATTTCAACAGAAGGCTGCCACGGCGCTAGCTGAAAAAGGAGACGTAAAAACCGCAAACGTTATGAACGCGGAAATAGCTCGTTTGTTTTGGCTCTTCTTTATCAATGGCACATTCTTTCCAGCTGTTTATATGCTTTTTTGAATCCTGAATGCTTCTGTGACTAGATTACTGATTTCAGAACTTTTTGAGCGGGCTATAGGAGGTCTTTTGAAGACCAGTCAGCTATTATTTTTTGCCTACGCTGATTTTGAAGAAGAACGGATGAAATATGAAAATGTTAAGAAAATTTATGACCGATATCTTGCTTTGGAAGAATGTGACCCGACTTTAGTAAGTTTTTTCCCACTTCCCAGTTGTTCTGGTCAAACCTTCTTCAAGGAAAGTTGTTGTTTAAGGCAGCAGCTATCGTCTGAACACTTCTTATATATGGCTCTTTGGTTTCCGTTCGCTGATAATTTAATTTGACTAGTTTTATGTTTCGCCCTCCTGATTAGAGGAACATTTTTTCAGGCTTATATACAGCTAATGAAGTTTGTAAGAAGAACCGAGGGAGTTCAGTTTGCTCGTGCAGTGTTTAAGCGAGCTCGTCAAGACCCGCGCTGCAAATTCCACGTTTATGTTGCCTCAGCACTAATGGAGTACTACTGCAGCAAAGAATGTTTTTTTTTCTTATTAGTAAAGATGTAATTGATTTTTTATTATTTCTGCTTTAGGAAACAGATATCGCAATACGAATATTTGATATGGGGTTGAAAAAATATGGAGATGAACCAGACTACGCCTTGGCTTATGTTGATTTTCTTTCTCACTTAAACGGTATGACCAAACTGCTTGACAGGCGGCTTTTATGTGTCGTCATAAATGCTTTGAAAAATTAGATAACCGTTTTTTTTTTTTTTTTTTTTTTTTTTTTTTTTTT